AAAGTTTCCGTCCAGGAAACACTTTGATTATTCCTATTTTTGGTCCCCGCGACTTGGCCCCTGTGCTTGCGCATGCCTTGTTGCACAGTGTCATTGGGCTTACACTACCCCCGATCGACGCGAACTCCTTTTTCATCAACTGTTCGGCTTGTCCGGGCGCTTGGAGAAGAGGTCTTATGTCCCTATCAAGTGATTTGCTTCGTTGTGGGATGAGTTGTCAATGTGACATTCTACTCACTTATCATTTAAAAGTGAAGGCGGTGAAAGAACAACCCTGAAATCTATTCTTATCTCTATCTGTTGTATACTCCCCAACGTGCTTTCAGGATGTCTCACCCAAGCAAACCCCAGTCGCCGTCGCCCGAATCTTATCAACTGGAAGCAATAAGTGTCGGTGACACCGCCCTCCCGGTTCGACCAATCGACTTTCGACCAATCGACTTCTATCACCTTCCACCACCGGCACATCGGTTCTCTTGACCGGCCGGGTCATTGACTGCCTGCAGCCCCCGATGGGATACTCTTTTAGTGCTGTCGTCGGCGTAGACCAAGAGACCGACAAGATCACAGCCCAGCTTCCCCTGGACTATTCGAGCATGCCGCATATCGCGGCATGCTCCGGACGCAGACGAGAAAAGTGCCCGCCTTTATCGTATCACCGACGCTTCTCGGCTTAGAACCTTCTTATACAAGCCTCAGTCTCTGTGTAGACAGTGCCATAATGCGTTAGCAGAGTTGATCGCTTACAGCCAAATACTGGCCAGAGGCGAAAGATCACGGTTGCATATTTCGGCTTGGTGGAGATCACCCGCGCGGAGCACGTTCGTGTACACAACCCGGGGACAGATGGTGATGAATCTGTGCGAATAACTTCAGTGGTCAATCCACTGGCTAGTTTCGTTCTCGACAAGCCGCATGATGAGGTCTTCCCTTCATGGGCCGATATGTTCTTCGCGCAATGGCCCCTAGGAGAGTCATCTGCAGGAGTCATGGCCCAGTCAATCCGTTCAAGTCTTGATTCAAGCAATGCGGTTCAGGGCCAGTATCTCGACCCTGGATTTCTGGTTTGAAGTCAGAGACCTCATTTGGATCCCGATGTGTTTAGCCTAAAAACAGTATATAGCTCAGTCAGGGAGACACCTTGATCGAGCTAAATCATACTTATTCGTGACATCAAAATGGCCAAGCATGCCTCTGGGCACGCTCGCTGACCGACAAAACAATTGCAGTGTCATCGGTCCTGACCCTTCTGTTGCAGGATGTCAGACTGGGATATGGCTCCTCTAGGCCCTAAACAGGAACCTTGGTTTTTCTCATGGTCTGGTGGTAAAATAGCCCGTGTTCTTTTATCCACACAGGATAATTCTGTCTTAGGACAGTCTGTCGCCTCGTTTCCAAGTGCGATTGTCAGTAGATCTCAGTAGACACTTGCGACGAACACCAGTTACTCGATGTGCTTCGTCGCATCATTGTTTATATGAATTGGTCGTCGTACCTGCTCCTCTCGGGTATATACATTTTGAAACTTGATGCGGGCTTGTCCTAGCGTTTCCCGCCTGTTTATCAATAGAAGCCTACCCCGACATCGAAGCTTGAAAAAAAAGCATCTGCCTAGGTATTTACGCCAAGCCTTGAGTGAGCTTCGAAGGTAACATGGCTAAAGCATACTATACTGAAGTACACACATAGGGGTTTGAATAGTATATAACTAGTTAGATTTCCGAGACAATTTCTTACAAATACTATTATCTTCCAAGGTTCCAATCACCAATACCTCCAGTCATCCAGGGCTATGCCGTCCTCTGGGTCATCAAAGCATAACACATAACGTACGTATCAAGCAAAGGCAGTCCACTGCGTCCCGCAGGCTGCCGCAACTTCTCGTGCCGGTCTACCAATCATCCCCTTCCAGAACGCAGAAGTACCAGAAGGAACTAGCTCTTCAATCTCCAAAGACAGCAAAGCATCAAAAGTCCAATCCTGGCACCGTCCAATTGAATCCCTAGGAGCAGGCTCCTTCTCGATAACCCTGATCGCGTCGTGTCGTTGTTGAGACGTCAGATCGGCAATCTTGCACATCCCCACAGCCGCCTCGTCAATGATCTTCGTGGCGTACCGAGGCGCAAATCCGTACCATAACCTGTCTGAATCGATGACCTCGACTTGGAGGAGATCACCAAATTCCCAGTTCCCGGGTTTGTTGATCATGAAGCCCCAGTGGGATCGGTGTGGGGGGCTATCGCCGGGTCCGAAGACTTCTATTGAGAGGTTGTAGGCCATCTTCTTCTATGCGGCGGTCAGTCTGATTTCATATATGCAGTTTTAAGGACTGGGATGGTTACATGCCTTTTTGTGGTCTGTGTACCGTGCAGAACTTCCCCAGGAGTTAATTTCTTGCGAGATGTGGTCTCATAGCTTGGCCTATGCAATGAGCCTGTACTAAAGAGTCTTAAGATCAGATGACTTGGATGTGATCGAAATTGACGAATGCGAGACCGACCAATTGTGCGTCGTCGATTGGCGCCGTAACCCCTCTTTGACAGCTCAATTATGCCACTACTTTGACTACAACAATCCTAATTAAAATTGATATCTCTCTTCCCTGTCAAATCGAGGCCATCGAGTACTCATTTCCAGGTACCAGGACAGGCCAATTGCGTCGTCCGGCTCACTTCTACCTCATGTCTCACACCCAAATATCTAATACAGCAGAGCCAAGTCGTTAACTAACATGTAATTTTATACATGTAAATGTTGTATGTTCAACTAATCTCCACACTTCCCTCAGGAACACCCTGCCTACTCCGCAACCTGCGCGCAAAGAACTGCATAACAGGCAACATCTCCTCCCGATTCGACGGCATCCCATCCCCCTTCCTAGCATACCGGCTCACCTCAACGAACTCAAAAACCTGCTTCGTCCTACGCACCGCCTCATCCGAAACCGCCACTGAATCCCTCCCAGCAACCAGCAGCACCGGCGTGCGATTCTTCTCGCCGACCCTGGATCCCGACAAAGGATACGGCGCCCCGATAGAGATAACCCCAGAGAGAGCACCAATCTCCCCACTATGGACATTACCATTTTCTTTCAGCCCGATCGCCCGCGCAATAGCTAGCGCAGCCATACCGCCCTGCCCGAATCCTAGCACCATAATCTCGCGCAGCGCGTACCCGCATTTCTGCACGAGTGTGCCGTGGACGACATCTGACACAAGCGTTTTCGTGCTACGCGTTAGGCCGGCGTCCATATCTAGTGCGCCGGTTGCGGAGTCGAAGGAGACATCGTCGCCCCAGTGGAAGCCGCCTAGGTCGAAGGGGAGTGGGGCTGTGCCTTGGACGGTGACGATGGTGGTTTCTGGGAGGCGGGTGGCTTCGGCGAATTTTGTGAATGATGCGGCTGTGTCGCCGAGGCCGTGGAGTAGGAGGAGGATGTTTGGGGCTGGGGATACGGATTGAGAAGGGGAGGGTGGTGGGGGTGTGATGGTGACGGTGAGTTCGGACGGGAAGTCAGATGGGGTGGGGGTTTTCGTGGGCATTTTGAATTGAGTAGAGTTGAGTCAAGTTGAGTTGGCTTGCTTCAATCGGAGCTCGCGGAGTTTGGAGCTTGGAGCTCGGAGAATGTCGCGGAGTGTGGCTGTGATTCGTAGATGTGGCGTAGAAGCTCAGCTTGTGTATGTTTCCATACAAGGTTGGTACTAGTAGGGCGGTCCGGAGTACTCCGTACAATCTATAATTCCAATGATACTAAGTGTATAAGTGTATCTACGAAGCAAGGCTCTCAATTAAGTTTACGGACGAATTGACTTGTGGGCAGTGAGTGTATTGTGATGGTATTGCGGTTGCCTAGCGCTGATCGAGATGTTAAGATGTTCAAGCGTTTGATGAGGAGAAAGACACTTTCCAAGGGCTATTGCATTTACGCTATGCATTATGCCCTACTAACTACATGATATAATTAATCTGACACATGTTGTGTTGCATCTAAGGAACTTGGCCAATATACACTCGCAGTAGACAGTTATTTGTTTTGGGAATTATATATCTCCGCGACGCGTATATATCCTAGATTTACCTGGGCGATCATGCGCTGATTGGAATCATGACGATTATGTATCTAGGCTCGTCATGGATGAAAGTGTGCTATTTTAGTCCAAGTGGCTTGAGCTCCGAGATGTACGTAATATAATTAGTTTGGAGTTAGCCCACTCATATTCTATCAGACAGATTTGACTTCAATTTTTATTAATACGAAGCAACTTTTAACTAGTTAATATAACTGACCATGAAGTGACTGCTCGTTACTCGACTGCAAGGGTTATACCCAACATTCCATCTTCACCGCCACTCTCCTCGTGGCTAGTGTTGCCGAGACTTATAAGGCGACGACAAGCCTTGAACAGAAGCTTGGCTCGGCTAAACCAGGCTGATCAGTTTTCAACTGTGTAATGAGAACCGTATAATTGACCTCCAATGGGAGCTAGTGTCGTGTGTGGCATCTTCTTATTTGTCCATTCATAGCGGAGTAGGGCTGAAAGGACCCATTCGGGTCCATCAGATCGGCGCGCTATTGGACATCGGCGGAACACGTTCTCGTAACACCGCACGCGAGGGTGTTGTATACCGTGTATGCTCAAGGTGTTAGAACCCCGTGCCGCGGAAACTAGTACTGGTAGTACAGCATATATAGTGTAACACGGTGCTAGTTGTGCGTTGTCGAGTTAGGACAGTTGGACATGCATGTAGAATGTCTCTCAGGGCAACCCCTGGACCAAATATCGGTACCAGGGACCAAAAATCAGTCCAGCTGGGATTTGGTAAGAGCTAAACAACCCCTCCCGGGGATCGTGATGGAAAGTTCTCCGTGTCCGTCACTGGTGGCACTGGTGGCCCCCCAATGTAGACTAGCGACGCGGTGGTGCCGATGCTCCGCAGCTCCCAATGAAGTTGCCTCCTCATCGCCCGAGATATCCGACAATAACAACTACAATGTAAGCATCTGCCTCCTTCACCAGCCACAGGTTAATACTCTGAAAGTTGTGTCTGATTCGTGTGCTGGAGGGGCGTTTTGACCCCATCCTTTGACATATCTACATCATATAATGTACATACATATGTTGGAGGAACCGCCCCAGCCACTATTCTCGCAGATTGGATGGTGGGGCGACTCGGAGCTGAGACAGAGGGGAAAAAGGTACTCCTGAATCTTAGTACAACGTAGACTACGTAGCCCTTCCAGAGTATGCCGTAGTCTCTCTCTTGCGTGGGTATAAGACCCCCTCATCGCCCTGCACTACTACGTTGTGTTCTTTTTTCCTTCCATCACTATACAATCCTTTCTTCACTTCCCTCCTTTTTTATCTACACACACAATGGCTTGGGGCTGGGGTAAGTCCAACTTCCTTACTGCTTGCATGCACCAGGGCCCGTCCCGACCTGCATAGCCGGCGAAATCCCAACACCACTCTATTGGCCATGAAAGTCAAAGCCACGCTGACGCCAAGCCAGACGAATCCGAGAAGGCGCACCAGGAGGTGTACAACGGTGAACAGCATCACGAGGGCAAGTTCTCTCACGAGTTCGCTGCCGGTGCCGCTTCCTTTGTCGCTATGAAGGCTTACGAGGACCACGAGCGCAAGGAGGGTACGTGACACCACATTACCTTGCAGTTTAATCTATCTTCGGACATTGGACAATCTTCTGACTTGGATTTGAACAAACAGGCAAGCCAGTCAGCCACGCCTTCGCCAAGGAACTCATCGCCGGTATCGTCGGTGGCGAGGTCGACAAGCTCGCCGAGACTAAGGGCATGGACTGGGTTGACCGTGAGAAGGCCCATCACCACGCCAAGAAGAACGCAGAGCACATGTACGAGGAGCGTTACGAGCGGGGCAACTACTAAGCCACTCGTATCGATGATGGCAATGGATGAGTGATGAAATTGTTTTATGAACACTGTGGTCGTATGTAGTAAATGATCTATCCACAATTTGAATCTGTCGACCTCGTACCTGTGAAGAGCGGTGAAGTAAGGCGTCCAATGTAATCCAAGATTGATATCGACATCCACATCCCGAGGTCATATGTATGTCGTATGCACGATGCACGAACTTGCATGGCATAGTTCCGACAGACATACATAGCCCTATGTATGTCTACCTACGACATGTTGTTCCCCGTATGTCTAAGACTCGGTCGAAATGAAAATATGAAATATGCGCCAAGATTTGACAGGGATACCGGGACTTTATCGAGCCAGTCATCACTATGAGAACCTGCCGACCGCATTCCGGCTGCATTCCAATGCGGTCGTATCTTAGATTGGAGACCAGTCGTTTGATTAATCGCCGATGAATTGCGTTCCTTGGATGTTTGCTTTTTTGTTCTGCATGGAAATTGATAGATTATTGGAAGGTTGAATACTGGATAAGCCTCGGAGTATGGAAGAAGTGAGGATATTCCCCAGGTCGCAGATTCCCAAAACTTCAGGAATCTGGCCTTGTGGGTCTGAGGGTCCCGTCGCAGCCAATCAAAGTACAAGGCTAACCAAAAGTGGGTTTCTGGCCTGATAACGCAGGCGCCCAGTGCTGATGAGCTCATACACGTGCCAAAAGTATAGGTTCAGCAACAGAGTTTGCGGCGTTAAAGATTTTCTGGGGAGATTCTTGAGTCTTGAAGATATCGTCTTGAAATTTCTGCTTGTTTTCTCCTTCGAAAGGTCTTCTTTCCGATATTATTCGTCCTCTATCTCTTCTCAGGGCGGCTCGGCTTTGGTTTTACTTTTGCTCAAGCTTTCGACCCCTCGCACTTGTGTGGGATTTGATGTTTGGATCAGAGCCGGCACTCCCAGGTTTGAAACCGTCTGCAATGACGGTGGTGTGTTGGTCAGGATGAAATTTGCCAAGTTTGTATTTCCGTGAGGTTGTGCGACATTCCAGTGGCTGACCCAATCCGCAGAGAGCTGGAACAGGAACTTGTTCCAGAATGGCGGGCAAAGTATCTCGACTACAAGGTCGGTCATTGCCACAAAATTTGATGTGTCACAGCCGTACTTACCTGGATACATTATTTAGACCGGCAAAAAGAAAGTCAAAGCCATCACTCGGGCCCTCCAGAAGGCAAACCGCAGTCCTCATGTCCCGTCTCATCGACAGTCCGCCACCACCCCGCAAAGTCGCGGCGCAGCCAACTCTGCTCTCACGCCCTCCAATACCGATAAACAGCTCGATGCCGGAGAGTACAATGGCCAATCGACGCCACAGCGAAGTGGTGCCAATCCGCCATCGACAACGCGCTCAACGCCGGTACCCAGAACCGAGCGACAACCGCTTCGCACGCCAGGATCCCGGTTCTCTGAAAATGTTGGTAGTTATGGAAGCATACTCGCAACGCCGCCACAACAACACCATACCGCAGGTTCGGATATAGGCTCCTTTGAACTTCCGGACCCGGCACTTGACCCAGATGAGGACTATCTGCCACACGAGGATACTGCAGACAAACCCAGGAACCTCCGGACTCCTTCGCCGGTCATGGATCGCCGTGGCATGCTGAACACTTCCCCGTCTCGCCCTATATCAGAACCATTACCGGCGCAGAGGCCCCAATTGGACCAGCGGATGAGCTGTCAGAGTCAAATGGGTGACACCTTAACAAAGGTGCCGTCGGGCAACCGGACATCAGAGCTTTTGCGTCGCGTGTTCACAGCGGAGGGAGAGCCTGGCGGGAGGCGACAGGTTGATTCTGGCGCCGGCGCCGAGGTTGATAGACGCCAGGACGAGTTCTTCGAGTTCTTGGATAGCCAGTTGCACAAGATTGATACGTTTTACGTGATGAAAGAGCAAGAGGCCACCGAGAAACTGCGTGTCCTTCGCCAGCAGTTACACATCATGCGAGACCAGCGCATGCAAGAGGTCGAGGCTGCTAAGAGAGGCGTCAATTCCGATGACTCGGAAACACAGCAACGGCCAAATGGATTCGCAAAAATCAGGAATGGTCGAATCAAGGATACATTCGTGGGAAAGAATCGTTTCGGTAAGAATACTGAAGCGCTGGCCCAGATGGCGACTCCTGGTATGCACGCCCAAGATGATTTCATTGCCAACCGGAGGGACTTTATGCGGCGGCAGGATCCACAAAGTCAAGAAGTGCCATATCGCTCCGCCAAGCGCAAACTCAAACATGCTCTGCAGGAGTTCTACCGCGGAGTGGAACTTCTCAAGGGATATGGCTATTTGAATCGAACGGCCTTCCGGAAGATTAACAAGAAATACGACAAAGCGGTCAACGCCCGTCCACCGCTCCGGTACATGTCTGAAAAGGTCAACAAAGCGTCCTTTGTACAGAGTGACGTGATTGAAAGCTTGATGGTAGCGGTCGAAGATTTGTATTCCCGTTACTTCGAGCGCGGTAATCGCAAAATCGCCGTCTCGAAACTCCGTCACACAATCAACAAATCTGGTGATTACTCACCAAATACTTTCCGCTCCGGTCTCTTGTTGATGGGCGGAACTCTGTTTTCCATCAAGGCATTGGTTGATGCTACGTCAAATCTCCGCTCCGATGATGTCGCTGAACATGTTCAGACCAGCTATCTCCTCCAGGTAGGTTTTTCGCTCTTTCGCCTATTGTGTGACCTCATTGACCAATCAACCAGATATATGGTGGGTATTTCCTCATCGTGTTCCATGTCTTGCTCTTCTGCTTGGATTGTATGATCTGGACAAAGTCGAAGATCAATCATGCATTTGTTTTCGAATACGATAGCAGACACACCTTGGAGTGGCGTCAGTTGCTGGAGGTACGTCCAATTTTGCGATAATAGCTTTGATGATTCATCCTGACAAGTACAGATCCCTGCCTTCTTCCTTTTCTTGATGGGCCTATTCATGTGGCTCAACTTCTCATGGTACAACCACATGTATATCTACTGGCCTGTCGTCCTTATTGGCTTGACGATCATTATAATTTTCTTGCCGGCCCGTGTTCTTTACCACAGGAGCCGCAAATGGTTTGCTTTTTCCAATGTGAGTTCATATAGCATCAAGTTATTGTTGATTAGCGTATCTGACCGTTCCAGTGGCGCCTTTTGCTTGCCGGAATCTACCCAGTCGAGTTTCGTGATTTCTTCCTTGGCGACATGTACTGTTCTCAAACATATGCCATGGGAAACATTGAGCTCTTCTTCTGTCTATACGCCTCATACTGGGGCTACCCTCCCAAGTGCAACTCCTCCCACTCTCGGCTCTTGGGCTTCTTCCAATGCCTTCCCTCTGTCTGGCGAGCTTTACAATGTATACGCCGATACCTGGGCACGAAGAACGCATTCCCCCACCTCCTGAACTTGGGCAAGTACATATTTGGCGTCCTCTTCTATGCAACTCTCAGCATGTACCGCATCGACCTCCAAACCCGGTTCCAAGCCTCATTCATCACCTTCGCCCTCTTGAACGCCGTCTACACCTCAGTATGGGACTTAATCATGGACTGGAGTTTGGGTAACCCATACGCAAAGAACCCAATGCTCCGCGAAGTCCTCGCCTTCCGTCGCGTATGGGTATACTACGCTGCAATGCTGCTCGACGTAGTCGTCCGGTTCAACTGGATCTTCTACGCAGTATTTATCAAAAATATACAGCAGTCCGCCCTACTTAGCTTCCTGGTCTCCTTTTCAGAAGTCTGCCGCCGCGGCGTCTGGTCCATCTTCCGCGTCGAAAATGAGCACTGCACAAATGTTCTCCTCTTCCGTGCTTCCCGTGATGTCCCTCTCCCCTACGACATCCCCTCCCCAGCTGCACCCCCCCTCGACGGCTCAGCAGAAGACGTCCAACTCCAAGAACAGCAGCACGCCTCGACACCCTTCATGTCGCCCGGCGACGTCGAGCAGGGCACACCCTCCATGTCCAGCATGCGCCACCGCAACCGCCGCCCCTCGGTTGGTATCAGCCGGGTCGGCACGATCGTGGCCTCAGCGCACGCGCAGGATTTCGAGCGAAGACGTCTGCCAAACTTCATGTCGAGCGCGAGTTTAGGACGGGATATGGATCAAGGCGCAGACGATAGCACGGACGAAGACGACGAGACGGATATAAGCACGGATGAGGATTCGCGAGCGAGACCGGTCTCAGAGCGCAGGGACACGATGGGTCGGATTATTGAGTAGGTTTCAAGAGGTAGGCTACGTCAATTGCCTATCAGTGCCAATGACTACGGGGGATATTGCTTATCGGCCCCGTCTGGATGGGGGCGTCGCCCTGTTCGATGATGTGAAATTATAGATATCTCCCATAACTTGCATATACCTCTTACCTTGCTATGCATAAATATTAATATTGTGTTTCCATCTTTTCTCTTCCCCACATTCACATACTACAAGAGACGCCCACGGATACGTAGCCCGAGTCCGGTCTGAGGTAGTTGCTTCCTCGGAATGGTTTCCGCCTGGTACGTGCTCCTGCCCCTTCTACATATGTAGACATGCATATCGCCGGGCCACCCGGGGACAGAAAGATTGCCTGATGTGATCACCGGGTGGGTGTCCGCAATGATACTGTTGGGATCGGAGATATGGTCTGCTGAGCCTGTTGTTCGGCACGACTGCCGAGTATCTAGGTAGTAGTTTGCCCTCTCTTCGTCTCTATTTTCCCTCGGCCAGTGCAGCCAATCCAGTCGCGTTGCTGTCCCTCTGTTCTTCCAGAACTCTACCAGATAGCAGGAGCAAGGTTTGCACGGTTATGGCGTGAGGGAAACCCAAGTCGTCCGCATGTGGTCTTGTCCGGAGAGTTCTGAACCCCTAAGTTCCCAGTCTGGGAGTTATCTCTAAAGTTGCAGAGTAGTGCCTAGGTCCTGAGCCATGAACCTAAATGTCTCGGGCCAGCCTCAGGTGTGTCTAGATCCTATGTGGCGAGCCTTTTGTCTTCATGGGCGAAGATTGAAACTAGCCTAGCGGTGTATGTCTGTGGGCCTGTGTATTATTGTATATCCCTTGCCTGCAAAACTCATGCCAGCAGCACAGCAGCGTAGCCAAAATGTCACCTTGATGAGACAGTAGAGCATCGAACCGACGGCGCATGAGAGAATAACGATTCGAAATATTCCGGATACGTGAGGGTTGCGATGCGGAAAAGAATCAGATTTGAGCGCTGTTGCGAATGGAAGGAGAAGGAGCAGGATTAATGCAGATGGGTTTAGAATTTCCTATTGGCCTGATCAACCAGCCTCCCAAGGCGCCAACGACATATCTTTGCCACTGATAACGTCCCATCGGTAGGGGTCAATCTTACTCTGTTTGTCTTAGCATAGGATACCGATGTTAGGGCTATCTCTGGTGGGATTGTCTCCCGAAGGCAACTCCATGCATGGATTCTGCATCTCACTGACTCTTCTAGAACATTTCCGAGAGGGAAATTAGGCAGGAAGCAGGAACCAAGGGTTGGAAGATTTGATTGAAAGAACGGAGTACAACATAGTAATGATAAGAGTGGATCATACTAGACTAGCGTTAGGATCCTATCTACTCCGTACCGTCGCTCAACGTTTCAACTACTCCATATGCTAATTCGAGCCAAAAAGACAAAGCCCAACAACATCGGTAGAGAGTTCAGGTGGATGAGGCTCGTGTTGCGAAGTTTGTCTACGGAGTACTCCGTGAAATACTCCAACAGGGCGCACGTATGGCCTGATCCTTTTCAATACAACATATTCGCAGTATCTGCTGGCAGATTCCTATTTCGGTATTCCGGAGACCGACGATCGCACTCCGGCATACCCGAGTAAGGGGCGGAAATATACATTCTTAGTTCAACCAATGCCAAAGAAGAGATATATGACTTATGAGATATAGTAGGAAAGCCATGATATCTGCAATATACAAAGTTCTATGACCGGGTACGGTTCCCGGTCTCGGAAGCAAATGGCTCGCAAAGGAACCGGGAAGCGGTTGGGCTTGGCCGAGAGAAAACCTTGCAAAAGCCATCTAAGCCATCTAAGCCCTCTAAGCCCCTAAGCCCCCTGTCTTGTCTTAAACTTTCTTACTTTTTTGCTTTTTTCTTTTTTCCCCTTTTAAACCCCTCGTACGACGCTGACGTACAAAGCTGTTGTTCACTCCAGGGCTTATCTGGTGGATTTGGTAATAGCAAGTTCGGTTATCTAAATCAAGTTAAACTTTCCAGTTGTAGAGATAACGTATCATGATAACTTTGATAACTTTGATAACCTTGGAAGTCCAAAAATATAAGATAAAATAGTATTCTCTTTCGTACCTGAGGATATTGCCGGTCCGGAGAAGAGTTTCGGGGGGCGTTCTTGGGCGTAACGTAGTTTTTAAGGTTGCACTTCAAACTTCTCCGCGTCTCCCCATGGGGTAGTTATGGAGAAACCGTGTGATGGGTCGAACCATCTTCCCTTCCAGGATTCTTCTCCACACAGTCTCCACGTACTTGTCGTCATACTAGCGGATAAGTGAGATATTTAAAATGTTGAGTAATATAATTTGTCCCCCAGTTTCGAGTGGATCTCTGCAGTTTTACTTCTGAAACTGGGCGTTGATTCCCACTCCAATGTGAGCGAATATACCCAGTACCCACAATTGGAGATTGTGGCGACTCACCATTTACTGAATTAACTCCAATTGACTAGTCCCTATCTGCTTTTCTGGGCGCCCCGTATATCAGGCAGCCGGTGATCTGAGGAGAGAGGTTATAAACGGCGTGATGTCCCGCAGACTCCGAGACCCAGTTTTTGTATCCGTACATTACCCATTCCCCATTTTTCCAATATGATGGATATGAAAAAAGAAAAAGACCTTGAGGGTCTCGACGGCGATGTCAACGCTAGTCCCGTTCACAACCACGATGATGTGTTTGGAGAAATCACCGAATCAGGTCCCAACTACCGAAACGTATGTTTCTTCTTCCCTTCGTCTCTTCTTCTCTTTTTCTTCTCCATGAAAAGTCCAATTAGGTCAAAACTGACACCCTCTTTAGGTAGGATGGGCAGGAACAGTGATCCTCATGATGAAGAGTCAAATTGGCCTCGGTGTCCTTTCCATCCCAAGCGCTTTTGATACATTAGGCCTCATCCCAGGTATCATCTGCCTGCTCGTTATCGCCATCATTACAACATGGTCCGACTACATGGTCGGCGTGTTCAAGCTCAACCATCGTTCAGTCTATGGTATCGATGATGCAGGTTTCTTGATGTTTGGTGCGATCGGTCGTGAGGTTTTCGGCTTTGTATTCTGCCTATGTATGTCTATACAATCATAACGATTATAGACTCGTTTCTAATATGCGCCTCTAGATTGGATTTTCGTCGCTGGCTCAGGAATGCTCGGTCTTTCAATCGCCCTCAATGCCGTCTCGACCCATGCCACATGCACAGCCGCCTACGTTGCCGTTGCAGCCGTCTCGGGAATCGCCTTCGCCAGTATTCGAACTCTCGGAAAAATCAGTTGGCTGGCGTGGATTGGACTGGTTTGTATTCTGATTGCGAGTAAGATCTCCCTCCTGACCTCGCGGGATATAACAAAGCCCTAACTGATTCGTGCTATAGTCTTCATCGTCACCATCGCTGTCGGCGTTCAGGATCGCCCGGTCCTGGCCCCTCAAGAGGGAATCTGGGTATCTGACTACAAGATCGTTGCCAATCCCACTTTCAGTGAAGCCATCACGGCCGTGGCCTCAATGGTATTCGCATACGCCGGTACACCTGCATTCTTCTCCATCGTATCGGAGATGCGCGACCCGAAATACTACACTCGCTCGTTGGTCATCTGTCAAGGCACTGTGACTGCTGTCTACATTACGATTGGTGTTGTGGTCTACTACTTCTGCGGTTCTTATGTTGCCTCGCCTGCTCTTGGTTCCGCTGGTGTCACTATGAAGAAGATCAGCTATGGCTTTGCCATTCCAGGCCTCCTGGTCACTGTGATGTTGTTTGTTCATGTAAGCACTCCCTCTCTCGGATTTCTTGGTCTTGTTTATCTACCGATTATGAACTGACACAACACTCATAGCTCCCCGCGAAATTCATCTTCGTCCGCGCCCTCAGAGGTTCGAAGCATCTCACCTCCAACAGCATGGTGCACTGGAGCTCCTGGATCGGCTGCACCGCAGGAGTCGGTCTTATTTCCTACATCATCGCAAGCGCCATTCCCGTCTTCGACAGTCTCGTCTCGCTTATCGGTGCTTTGCTCGGCACATTCATGTGTTTCCAGCCCATGGGCTGCATGTGGCTGTACGATAACTGGGGCAAGGGCAAGGTCAACCGATCCCCGAGATGGATGGCCATGGTTTGCTGGAGTGTCTTCGTTGTCGTTATCGGTACTTTCATGATGGTCGCTGGTACATATGGGTCTGTCGTCAGCATTATGGAAAGCTACAAGGCGAACGGCGGTTCAGCTGCTTGGTCCTGCGCGGATAACTCAAATTCTGTATAGATCGGTGCGATCTAGAGGATGGCAGTCTTTTCTGTTATGACTGACACGAGTGCATTAGAAGTACTTATATATTCGAAGCGTGTTAGAATGTCTTATAATTCAAAGTCTGTTCTGTATAAATATCATCTCTGGCGATTAAGATATGTAAGATTGCCTGAAATCAATCTTGATACACGTCTATAAGATAGCTGTTGAGATGCCAGACGCCAGCTTGCTTAGGCTCCATAGCTGACTACATAGTCATGTGTTCTTGGGGAAGAGTGGCTCGTTCGCGTTACCTTTCAGATTGATATTTCTGGGGGAGTTATCTGTACCGACGTGTTTGAATATGCCAAGACCCCTTAATATTTCGTAGACCTTTGTATTCTAGAAGAATTTGCTCTCCGACGATCCTTCGATCTTAATGTGACTACATCCCCGGGCCCACCAAAATGTATACATATGTACATAAGGAGCCCGCCCCCACCTGGGCATATTTGGCCTATCACACGTGACCCGTCACATCATAGGGGCTCCACCTCCAGGCTTCACTCATCTCTCTCTTCGTAGGTGATCTATTCAAACGCTCCACATCAGCGCCGAGACTAAACGTATCTCAATCTACCGCTATGGCTGCAAACACCAGATATGAGCCCGCTCCTCAGCGGGACTCCTTGGATGAGCCATTCTACCCCCAAGCCCCTCCCTCCTACCAGGCTACAGCGGCTCCAGCGGAGCCAGCGCCTCGTGGCGAGGACGATAATCTGCCCGATGATTTCAAGGTACGTATTACACCGAGTGGAGGACTCGCACCCGGAGAGAAAGATGGAAACTGACAAAAGGCATAGTACGGAGGCACCGTCGCCGAAGGCACTATTGACATCCGAATGCAATTCGTGCGCAAAGTGTACTCTATTCTGTAAGTCTAACACGGTCCACAAACGCAGATCCAAGCGCATGGGTTCTATAAGCTTCCTACTAACACTTATCCAGAACTGCTCAGCTCCTCCTCACAACAATCCTCAGCTCAATCTCCTTCTTCAACGACTCTTACCGCATCTGGATCCAGTCCAACTTCTGGTTGATGATAATCTCCGTCTTCGGCGCTCTGGGCTTCATGCTCGCAACATTCTGGAAGCGAAAGTCCTACCCAGCAAACCTCCTCTTTCTATCCGGATTCACCATTCTCGAAGCGTACGCAATCAGCGTGGCGACATCTTTCTACGACGCGAGGGTAGTTGTACAAGCACTCGCACTGACACTGGGAATCTTCGTTGCCTTGACGCTCTTCGCATGCCAGACCAAGTACGACTTCACCGACTGGATGCCGTACCTGTTCGGCGCGTTGTGGTTCATGATCCTGTTCGGGTTCGTGGCTATGTTCATCCCGTTCAACAGCACCATTGAGATCGTCTATGGTGTGCTTGGCGCGCTTATCTTCTCTGGTTATATTCTCGTCGATACACAGCTCGTTATGCGACACTATCATGTTGAGGAGGAGATTGCTGCTTCGATCTCGCTTTATCTCGATGTGCTTAACTTGTTCATGTCCATTCTGCGGATTCTGAACGGTGCTAACAACAATAATTAATTAAGCATTGAAACTCTGAGGGTAAAGAGGGATACGTACAATCTCGCCTGAGTTGCCTGCTTTAAGCAGGTTCTCGTCCCGAGGGCAAATGCTGGACAAACAAGCTTGCGTTTTTGGTGCTTCTAATAACTAGTTCGAATGAGGGCCTTTTTGCTTCACATCTGGCCTTGCTTGAATTGTTTTCTACTGTACACTGCTCTTCCTTCATATCTTGAAGTTTTTACAAATCTCTCCGGTGTAAATTTGGCTTGAATACTATCTTCCCTCTTCTTTCTTTATCGAAGCAAAGTAATTAGCAGTCAACCGATATAAAATTAAGCAACCCAGTCAAATAGGCACAATTCTCCAAACGCCCAGCATGGATAACCCAAATCAAATGAAATTTAAACTATGCAAAGAGCAATATCCAATAGGATAGACAGCAGCGAACATCTGGAGCAACGTGTAAAGGGAAAAGAATATGTAAAGAGAAATGAGCCTGCCGAACAGGTAAGAAAAGGTCCAAGGAACGAAAGTTCTTTAGACGGTATATGGCAGGCTCGAAGATCATGACAAGACCAGGCCTAGGTCAACAAGAGGGGGAAAGAGAATTTTTATGCAGAAGAAAGGGCATATTAATGCGAGGTTGTAAAGAAGGTGTTCGTAACCAGACACACAATCATAACAAGGAAACCGTAGAGAGCCAATGCCAGGCTGAGTCGGCGAAGCAGTGCCTTGCGCCAGTGGCGGGTGCCACGGAGCAAAAGGCCACTCTCGGTCAATGAGCGAGCGAGGGAACCCTCGCCATCGTCGCAGTCGTCATCTTCCGAGAGATCATCCTCTGCCTCATCGTCCTCTTTCATTAAGCCCTGGTGGGTAGGCGAGTCGGGCGAGGAGATTTTGTAGTAAAACAAGCCCGGGAGAATGAAGCTGATGCTCGTGCTGCCAGTGCTCCCGACGTATGCCAGCACAGATTCAAGGGAGGACACGGTCATGGCGACTAGGTAGCTCAGGACCAGTATGGTGGTTGTGATAACGGAGAAGCGAAGATCGCTCATTGGCTCTGGCGTGCGGTTTCCGCGCGGGCCTAGCAGTGGATGTCGGTTTGGAGAGCTCTCTGTCCCAGTGATTTGTGCTCTGGGGCGCCATTTTAGAACAGCATCGACTGAGGCTCGACATGGGTGGCATTGTAGTGGATAAGAGAAGACTACTAGCATGACGATTGCGGCGCGTCCAATCGTCGCGTACACACCTGGTGGGTACATGCCGACGATATTGCCGCCTACGCTATTGCCAAAGGATAAATACCCGGTAATGGCAACGAGAATGTAGGTTGCAGCTGCGCTACCGGCGCTCGCAAAAACAACGGCAGTTGTGCGGAAATGGCTGTTATTGCCGATTTCGTTGAGGATGGAGAACATCTGGAACGCTTGTTAGAAAAGAACCCTGGGTCACAACTTGGAAACGTACATTTTGATGGCAAGTGAATGCAAAGACAATAACCGGTAGACTGCTGAGAGTCGGAATGGCGCCCGCCCAATGGCCCACGCGAATCGGGCCTCGATCCTCCTTTGTGTCCCCTTGGATAAAATTATACACAACCAAGATAACCAAATAGGCCATGGACACCAATGCGGCAATACTGGTATACTTCAAAGAATCTAAACGGCGCAGATAGGAAATAGGAATCACGATCAACCTAAAATTAAATGGTCAGCACTTCACCCTCAATTCGGCACAATGCACAAGGCGACGCACATGAAAGCCGTAACCCAAAAATGGCGGTCCACCAGGAAATCGTATCCTGGCTCGCTGCCGACGAAGCCTTGTACCACCCCTGGCATGAGATCTCCAATGATGATGAGATAGCTCACGCCGACTCCGAAACATTTGATCGCAATCGCACAGTCAAAGACCACGGCGGCGTTTGGGTATGTCAATTGTGATAGCGCAAAGAATGAGGCGCTTCCACGGTCTAGGTATAGCGCGCATAGGGACTGCAGGTAGAGGCCGAATCCTGCGGTTGCTGCAGACCACAGAACCACGCAGACGCCGAGGACGATTCCCATACGGGAGATGGCTAGAGGCATCGCAAGCACACCGGCACCGATGACTGCATTGAGAAATTGATCAGAATTCGGAGCACCCTGGGCATTGTGCGCTTCCTTGCACTTACTGGTATTGACCAGGTTGATCACACTGCTGGCCCAACTGGCCTCACCTACGACATCCCCAGGTCTTCCGCGGGCTGCACGCCTAATGGAATCCAAATTAGCCTCCATCGACATCAAGAATTTGTGTTCCAGCCTACCTCCGCAGCATATTCTGGTGCCCAGATGGACCAACCCCGAGCGCGGCCTCCTCCATTGTAATATTGGTTATCTGTTGCGGAAATGGTGTTATCGGTCAAAGATAGGCGCGCAAAACATAATTAACGGCCGCTACCAGCGGGGCCGAGACCAAACCAAAAGAGAGAGAGAGTAGAAGTTTAGTTAAAAAGTAGCTGGAAAATGGAAAAAGCAGGGGGAAGAATTAAGGAGGGAAGATGGCCAGTTGAAAGCTTCCAAATTTCCAAGTCTTATCGGGATGACACATGACCGGGGCTTCCCCGGGACCTTGACTCTGTTACCTAAAATGTGAAACACTTTGCATTCCCACATATTCCTACATCAACTCCGTTTAAAGCGCCTAGAGATGTTCGAAACATTGTCGGGATTTGTATATCAAGCGTACAGATAAGTTGATACCATCATAGCTTTGCCAATCCCCATCCTTTCTGCGACAGGAGTTGATAACTCTCTTCCTCAACGGCATGGTGATCCGACGCCGTGTTTCCAGGCCGATTACCAGGACCTGGATCATTGAACTGACCGACAGCTCGCACTGTCTTTGACACCTCCAAAATCGTCCCTCCCCCAACCCTGAACTGCGGCCCACGACCCGACCGGTCCCCGATAATCTCGCTCACCTGTTCCTGCTGCACAAGCGCCAGCATCACCTCCGCCACTTCTTCCGGCGTTACCCACGCATCAGCACTATCATCAACCATCTTCATCTTCTCCGGATGATCAGTCCAGAGCGGGGTCTTGATAACACCCGGAGCCACGGCCGTGACTCGGATTCCAAGCTTCTTATCGAGGTTGGCAAGCGACCGCACTAGGCCGTTGATAGCGTGTTTCGTGGCGCAGTAAATTGGAGCTGCGAGATTTGCATTCTGGCCTGCAATGCTGGAGATATGGACGATATGCTTCGGACGGCCGTTGGCACGGTGCTTCAGGAAATGAGCAATCGCCAGCTGGGTCGTGCGGATCGGGTGGGTGACGTTGATATCGACCAAAGCGTACCGGCCCCCAGAGGCCGAATCCTTGCTTTCAGGTGAGTGAGGCGGGCGCCAGAAGTTGCTCCAGTGCTATATACATTGCAGTTGTAGTTAGAGCTGTAGTTTTGTTGGGATTGTATTTTGTCTTACCGGTTCGTAGACTCCCGCGCCGGGGCAAACAATATCAATTTCGCCGAACTCCTTCTCCGCAATCTCGAACATTCGCTCGAGCTGAACCCAGTCAATGACATTAGTCTCTTGGAAGACCACTCGTGCGGGCCCGGTCTTGTGCTTATCGGCTAGCACTTGGGCCTCAGGACGCAAGGACAGGTCTGCGATTAGGACATTGCAGCCGTTTTCCACTAGCAATTTGGCGAAACTGAGGTTGATACCTGGCTACAATGTAAGCTAGCCGTCTGATACTTGCAGTATACAGGAGACATACCAGAGCCAGCTCCAGTTATAATGGCAGATCTTCCTTTTACCGAGAGAGCCATGTTTAGAGTATTGACGATTAATGGGTTACAGCTTGCAGCAGGGGGTTCTGCTCTCTTTTATGCAGGAAATGGACTCTGTGGAACTTGCTGGGGTGCTTTTGCAGCGCTTCCGCATCCATTTTTAGGCCTCGCGGGGTAGAAGAGCACTTAACCGTCGGGACGAGAGGAAGGTGGACCCGAGGCCGGCGTGATGGCCGAGATTCCTGACATCGTATGCGGCCTAATGGCAGTATATTTCCTATTTTCCTTGGGCGTCAGGTCGTCTGGCATCAGTTCCCCTCTCCTTGGCATCATCTTGCTGTATTTACATACATGTACATATGTATGATAGTACTTGTGTACATTGTTCGATGTAAAACTGTGCTATATGCCGTAGTTCCGGCTCAGTAAGTGGGACAATAGAGCTGGGCTCGGTACGCCTGCCTTCGGTTTAAAGGCTGTGGAAACCAGGTGGATTGCCCTCGGATAATTGCTTGAAAGGGTATGCTTGTCAAGCATAGGAACGCTCTACGAGATATCTAGACCTTCGGTTGACCTGCTCTGTCCAAGCAGTCGAACCGCAGCACATATAACATTCAATTGGCCATAACATTCGAGTAAGACAGCACAGCTTCCGTTCAAGTGCCACGGTTGGCACGTAGTGTTCCATTCGCATACTACTTCAGCTTCGTCACAATGCAGATCTTCTATCGCGAAACCTTTCTTGACAAATGCCGGCTTGACGTGTTCCCGAATGATGTTCTCGAAGACTTAAAGCTTCGACAAAACTCATATGCACTATTGCCACCTTAGCCTCATGAATGACAAGAGTAGTCGGCCGCTTATGCGGCCGTATGTCTTCTAAGTGGTCTTCTCGTGTAGTCTTTTTATGTCTTTTTAGTGGTCTTTTTCGGTAGTCTCCTCAGGTAGTCTTTTTAGATTCCCAGTTATAAATATTTCCTCCCCATAGACAGCAGAAAAGGCGGTAGGAGGCTTAAATGGTGAAACGCACTTGCCTATGTATGACCTTTGCAGACTGACGTCATGGCGAATGGCGGGTGGTCGGGCGGTTCTCCCAATATAGTAATTATTCGGCATATCGCTCTTTCCGGCAGCGGCTCGACTACTGTTTATGGGATAATCCCGCCTCGAGTAATGTATGTTGTGTTCCCCACGAAACACATATAAAGAACTGATGCAGATCCTCGCAAGGTCGAGATACACAACTGGACTCATTTTAGCAATGTCGATGTCAAAATTTATTTCAAAATCCGCGGTCCGAGCGGCATCTACCTCGGCCCAGGCAACCAAGGCTGCTGGTGATATCTCATCAGTCTTCCCCAGCCTAAGGCCTGACTACAAGCCGGAACCTCTTCCCGTACGGTTTCAGGAGCTGAAGGCGAGAATCTTTGAGAAGAACAGAGATGCAATTACAAAAAGCTGGGAGCGATTGCTTCCTAGCTTGGATGAAGAAGTGCAAAAGATCAAGGCAAAGGGCAGCGACGTATGTGTATGTAACCCGCAATACCAAGCAAGAGACTGACTTTCAAATATTAGATTATCCCCTCAATTGATTACTCTGATGTGATCTCTGGAAAGGTGTCCGAAGCCGCATTAAAGGAGATCCGCCACCGAGGCAGCGTGGTCGTCCGCAATGTGATCCCGCGGGACCAAGCCCTAGAGTATAAGCAGCGCATTCGCGACTATGTGGCCGCCAACAAGGAGCGAGTCAAGGCCTTCCCACCTGACTCTCCAGCTGTCTACGAGCTATATTGGACACCATCGCAGGCCGAAGCCCGCGGGCACGACAACATGCTCAACACCCAGCGCTTCATGCAGCAGCTGTGGCATTCATCGGACCCTGACAGCAAGATCTCAACCACACACCCACTCACTTACGGTGACCGTCTCCGCATCCGCGACCCAGGTGACTCAAAATTCACCCTCGGTCCACACATTGACGGCGGTTCCCTCGAGCGCTGGGAAGACCCCGAGTACTCTCGAGTATACACCAAGATCCTAGAAGGAAATTGGGAGAAGTACGACGCATGGGATGCGCGACACCGTCTGAACGCCAACATGGACCTATACAACGGCGCAGGAGCATGCTCCATGCTGCGGTTCTTCCAGGCCTGGCTTTCCATGTCGGACACCAAGCCCGGGGAGGGCTCGCTGCACGTCTGCCCCATGATCAATCACAGCACAGCGTATACCATTCTGCGTCCCTTCTTCGACCCCGAGACCTCAAAACCGGCCCTGGATGCTACGTTCCCGGGCTCCGTACCTGGCGCTTGCCAGGAGTATAACCCAGTCACGCACCCGCATCTCGATCTTGAGTCGACTATGGTTTCAGTACCGCAAGTTGCGCCTGGTGATTTTGTTGCGTGGCACTGTGATTCTCTTCACTCCGTGGACAAGGAGCACCGTGGTACCCAGGACTCTAGTGTCATGTACATTCCCGCTACCCCGCTGTGCAATATGAATGTCGAATACCTTCTTAAGCAGCGCCAGGCTGCGCAGAACTATTCGCCTCCGTGGGATTTCCCCGGTGCTGGTGGTCCTGGTGAGTCGGGATTCAAGGGTGCTATGGATTGGTCGGCGCTGAGCCCGGAGGGTCAGCGTGCTATGGGTTTAGGCAACACTCCTTGGGAGATCACCGATGCCATGAGCGAGGGTGAGAAGGAAGCTGTCCGGTCTGCCAATAAGGCCTGTTTCGGTGTTTGAGGTTTGCTTGATTTGGATGGCATTTCTGGAGTTTCTATTTGAAAGATTCTTTCAAGGCTGTATATAACAACCTGTATTTGAAAAATAAGTCTCTATTTCTTTTGACATGAAATTATTTGAAAATCATGGAATATTAGGGTCCCTTATCTTCGAGCCTACCCCAACACACCGCGATGCACTACCTACCTACCGCAACCGGAGTGCCACTCAAAAGGCAACCTTGGCAGAAGCGGGGCAGCTTTTGCCTACTCAGACGGATTCCCCGACATAACTTATTTTTCTTTCTCCTCCACCTCTCTACTCAGGATATTTCTGTTAAGTTCGCAAATAATTTGAACAATCATCATCATGGATTTCGTCAAGAAGGCTGTTGCAAGCGCTAGCGGCAAGAAGGAGGATAAGCCTACCGACAACAACGCCCAGCAGAACGACGACTACCTTGACAAGGGTGAGTGCTTTATTGTGCTTTCCGCACCTTGGATTTTTGACTGACAAGCCTTTACCTCAGCCTTCGCCGCTGGCGTCCAGAAGTCTGGCTACAACATCGACCGCAACATGCAGGAGAAGATCACCGACGGTGCCCGCGAGGCCTACGAGAAGGCCACTGGGTAAGTGAACCTCGAATCCCTTGGGCTTGGATGTCTGCTAACATTTTATTCTCCAATACAGCAAGCCAGTCAGTGACAAGATCTCCAACTGAACGAATCATTGGATGCAAGCAACGATTATATTTGGGGGGAATGAGTGAATGAATACCCGGACATACTACGCAGATAGGATAGATAGGTCAACCTAATTAAACTTGTCTATACCTCGTTTGATACAAGTTGTCTGTAGTCAGTCTAACTATAGAACCCATAATTCGTAAAATGGCAAGATTCAGCACGGAGTCACGGTCAACGAGTCCGGCTATCCAACAAGGTGTACGGAGTACATCCAAGAGGGGTAGGGTGCCAAGGAAGCTTTCTGCGCGCGCACAGCCACCTCGCACAGCCACTTATGCAGCCACCTCCCCATCTTGATTAAGAAGGGATCTTCACTTGTACCATGGACCGCCAAAAACAAACCAAACATACGGGCGGGGCTCGGAGATGAACCCATCACGTTCCCATAGAAATCAATAGCGCGGATCTATGTTGTAGGTAGATCTTGCCTAGGTGGGCCCGGAAATGGTCAGATCCTGGATTATGATTTGCCCATATTATTTCATGATGCTCTTGCCCAAAAAGAAGAAATACCTAAGGACCTCCAGGGCGACCAAGACTACTTTGTACGTGTGTTTGCGGAATATAGACATCCCATATGCTATCAAGTGCTGTCATATCGAAGAGTTTAGCCTCTGGCCGCATAATAGTACACAATGATATAGCCAAATAATGAGGGGAAATGAACTCTCCCAGCGCTCCGGCTAAGTCCGGCACCGAGAAAGAACTATATAATTCGACCGGCAAATCAGAGTCTCGTGTGGCTTTCTCCATGGCGTGACCCCTATTCATAGATTGGATGATATCACAACATCGGGGACGAATATGGGTCAACTACGGGGTCAATTCTGGATTAGGCGACACAAGCTGAAAAGTGGCTCCCAAGGTTCAAGCAATCAATGCCAAATAAGCACGAACTAGTGAGCTCTGGAGATGCTAGCTTCGCCGTGCCACGATCATTGGTCCCTGCTCGCCTTGATTGTCCGCATGTTGTCATTGAGGGGTTTAGAGGGGCGATTCTCTTCTATTCCATTCTGGCCCCGTTCCTGGTGGGAGATAAATAAAGCGCTCGCCTTCTGTTGGGATAAAATTGTACTCCTTTAGATCATTACTCTATAACTATTCTCTTCCTTCCGAGGTCAATTCAGCTTCTCACTCCAAACACAAACTCAATCCCCCTAAACAAGCCTCCAAAATGTCTTACCGCAACGAGTCCAACAGCTACGGCAGTGGCAACCAGAGCTCCGGCTACGGTGACAACAATTCCTCCAGCTATGGTGGCAACGACTCTAGCTCTGGTCGTGACCAGGACAGCTACGGCAGTAGCAACACTGGCAGCAATAGCTACGGCAGCAACAACAACTCTTCCAGCTACGGTGACAACGACTCTTCTAGCTACGGCAACAAGTCTAGCTCTGGTCGTGACCAAGACAGCTACGGCAGCAACAACAACTCTTCCAGCTACGGTGACAACGACACTTCTAGCTACGGCAACAAGTCTAGCTCTGGTCGTGACCAAGACAGCTACGGCAGCAACAGCAACTCCTCTAGCTACGGTGACAAGTCTAGCTCCAGCCGCGACGAGGATAGCTACAGCAGCAACAACAACTCCTCCAGCTACGGCAACAAGTCCAGCTCTGGTCGCGACTCCGACAGCTACGGCAGCAATAACAACAACAACTCCGACAGCTACGGCAACAAGTCTAGCTCTAGCCGCGACGAGGATAGCTACGGCAGCAACAACAACTCTTCCAGCTACGGTGACAACGACACTTCTAGCTACGGCAACAAGTCTAGCTCTGGTCGTGACCAAGACAGCTACGGTAGCAACAACAACTCCTCCAGCTACGGTGGCAACGACTCTAGCTACGGCAACAAGTCTAGCTCTGGTCGTGACCAAGACAGCTATGGCAGCAACAACAACTCCTCCAGCTACGGTGACAACAACTCCTCCGGCGACATTGCTAGCACGATACTGGACAAGGCTTCAGGTTCGTGATTCTTATTTTTGCTGGAAGGCTTTGAGAATTATATGCTAACCTACGTGTCATTTTAGATGTCTTCAACCGCCGTGATTAAAGTCGTTCTTCACTGTCAGGTGAGGCAATCAGGAGAAATGAGCGATTTTGCTGGGATGTGTCGTTCGGAAATTAGTACATACTACTAGGCACAATACACGTATCTATTTCGTTTCGTGGGTCAAGAATATCTATTGCTAGCGCTCGACCGTTGTTTGGCATTTCTTTTTGTAGAGGACACCGATTCAGCCTTAATGATAGGGGACCTCAGTTCTTCTTTTGCCTACCTCGCGAAGGGTATCATGAAGAAGTTCCTCTCTCTAGAAACCGTACTTTTTATTGCAGGTATTCTGCGGTGATTCAACAGTTCTGATCCTTCTCGCTACAACACCGTAGAAGGAGAACAAATGCACAAAGAATATTCCCCCTAATATCATCCGGAGCTAATTGGGTATTCGTCAAGGATAAAAGGCCTACTATTCCTTTTCTACTATATTGTATATATGATAAAGGTGGGCGAATGTTACTTTACATAGATCGTTAAAATTTCCATCAGGCCTCCTCTTTGGCGTATTCTACAGGACTTAAGAAAGTCAAGCCATATTTGAGAGCTCAAACAGCTGAGTCTGCCATATCTGAATGTTTCCGGCCCTCCGTTGTGTGTTACGTGCTATGCTAATAGTAGGCGCCGGGGCTAGCCATCTTAAGTCGAGGGTGGTTCGGTAGTAGACAGACTATATGTTTATCCTACTAATTACTTACAGGGGTCCCAGTATAGCTCCACCGTTGACTCACAAGGTTGTTAACCTTTCAATTTGACAGAGATACAATGAAGTGTGGTTTGGTAGGATTGTACGAGCAAAAGTGTAACTAGACCTCTCCAATCCATGGACGGCTCTTCCTACGCAGCAGCCAAGCTCTACGCTGGGTACTGCTACCGATTTATTCTCGAGCAGGCCGCCATCTTCTAGAGAGCGAGGAGAAGTTGACTATATAGAAATTGCGGTCTGTTGCTATCACAGATACCGATTCCAAATGCAGATGTGAATATACTCAAATGATAAAGCGGATGATGGCCGGGACTACTTTATACTATGTAGTACTTGTTATAAATTCAACGAGAGTGACCATTCAGTACCTAGTTAAATGTCCACCCCTCATAGATTTACCTTATATACTCTAAATCTTGATTATTCCTAAGGAAAACCTGGTAATCCGCGTCGGAATTTAATGGAGTCCACTGCATAAGGTGGTGTATGAAGAAATTACAGAAGACATCTACTAGTCCCTGTATGGTGATGCAATCGTGATAGTGAGACTAAGCTAAGCGACAACAACCGAAAAGGTAAAAAAGGGGATAGGAGTTTGATTGATGACTTCCACGATGTCCGGAAAACAACTTCAAGACCGAGAAGTCAGACCTTAAGATACCCAAAATGACCTGAATCCAGGGTCTTCCGTCGCCCATGTGTATCATGCGGACTGGCTATCTCATCGACCCCTTGCTTTTTAAGCGCGCCAGCCCTCTCTGAATTCACTATTCCTTGGAAGCGCTAATAGTGCTTAGTTCATTTGACTGCATCCCGCGTTGAGCTGACGGACATCTCTGGATGTGAGGCCACGAATTTGAAGGAGGATGGTATAAGGTTGCCAAATTACTGCAGAGCTCCACCCGACGACAACCACATCCACCAAATGGACTTTTGATTCATCAGTGTTTTTGGGTGCTTCTTTCGAAACTGTTCGAAAGTGGTGAATTGAACCATAACAGAAAGGCCCTCGCAATGCCACCGGGATATTCGTTCTGTCCCCACCATGGGTGAGCCCATTTCATCATTTGTGCTTTTCTATAGCGATAAGCAATTTTTTTCTAATGTTAGCCTATCGTAGACTTTACATCCAACCCGCGGAGCTTCGCTCAATGCTTCCGGCGCGTGAGTTTCCGCGCACCTGCTCGGGCCTTGCCAGCAACGAATGGACCTACGTTATACGTGGAAGTTTCATTAATACACACTGCTTTGAATGGATCCCGCTCGAAATAATATTGGAAATTGCATCTTACCTGCCGACTGCGGACTTCCTCAATCTACGACTCTGTTCCTGGCAGATATATTCGAAGAACAAACATTCTGGAAAACAAGGTTTTTCATACATGGTGATAGAGGCTATCTTGCCTTTCTCACTGAAGGTATCCAGCGTGCAGAAGACTGGAGGCTGCTTTATTGTTGTACTCACGAACTTCCTAAATCAAACCTTGAGCTCTGCGCTAGAAAACAGCATGGGCGGCAAAACCGATGGCTGAGAGATGCCTGTATCATGACCAGAGGACAGGATCTTCTATTACACGCTCGAATTGACACAAAATCTCTAGAGTGGCAAAAAGCTGCTGGAATGAATTTGTAGCAGGGACACTCAGGGTCGACTAACCACAAATTGTGTAGAAGATGCTTTGGCAAGCATGAACCATAGACCCAATCAGTTCCCTTCGCTAGGGCTATTGTGGGACTCGCCGTCTCTCTTCTTTCAGACTCGTGCTCAGGCGCAGACTCAGGAAACGCTTTTGTCGCCGGCTTGGAGCTTATTTATCCTAGAGATATGCCAAATACTGTCCTTGGCTATCACCTTCCAGGAAATCAAATAATGATTGAACTTCAAGAAAGGCCGCTTAAGGGATTCGAGTTGATGATTCGAAAAGGAGGTGTTTGCGCAGTACTTCCGCTTTTCGATATGAACGATTGGATTGGCAAGCCACTTTGTTGGATTTAATGATTCCCGCAGGCTCGTGCGAATTTAAACGGGCAATGAGATACTAGCCCTTTCGGCGGATTTCGATGTAAGTCGAGGTAATCGCCTGCTCAGGTTTTTGTGTCATTCTAATAGTAATGCCTACAGTATTGCACACTCACTGGTCTGGCAATAGGGACTGAAAACCCCCATTTCTCACTGGCTTCAAATACTACTAATTAAGGGCTCTGGCTTTACTAGAAATCGGCTGGTGTAGAAGGAGAGCAATGTGCGGGCCTTGAGTCTGATAGGCCAAGATCTGGATGTTTTACCTTTGAATACAAACACTTTAGGAGTTTTTAAAGGACCCGAAACCCGAGGCGAACACTCTAGATCTTCATTATTCTTAATCTAAACCTGGTTGACTCTCGATCCCTACATATGTACTCTACAAGGTCTCTCGTCCGTCATAATCGCGCGTGCATGTGCGAATTTACAGTGAATCGAGCACGCTTCCCACATATACAAGAATAACCGGCTTATGCCGCCTGTTTCTGTCCTTGACGGCATAGTTCAGTAATTTTATTCATTCGGCTTGAGATCAGATTAAGAGGGGTTATATTCAAGGTATTCTTACAATGTTTTCTCAGCTGTCTGTTATATATGTCTTTAGTGCGAGAATGTTGTAATCTGGCTCGAGTTTCCTTGTAAAGAATGGGATCAGTCTAGTGTTGGTGCTTATCAGCCGAGGTTGCAGATATGTAGGTGCTATAGGGGGAAGTTAGATATAAAGACTACGGTGTAAAAATTGTGCGGGAAGCGATAATAACTCAATGTCAAGAGGGTGGACGTCGATGGATGTAGAAGGAATTTAGAGGATCTGGGATCTGGGTTATCACCGCCCGGACTCCGCCAAGCTTGTATTGACAACATCCATTCTACATTCTCCCACCTCCCCTCTTCAATGCTTCAATAAGAGTCATTCGTCAAAATGCGGCTCCAGGCGGCGCTCTTTTTCGCTGCGTGCCTATCGCCCGCGGCGGCCATCTACTCTGACGAGGTCAATCACATCGACTTCCACCACGCTCTCCTCGGCAACCCATCCCCCGACTCGACCTTCTTCCTCAAGCCATCCCCAGCTTCGAATGCCTCCCTGCTCTATACCCTATCCGACAAGCTGCTCCTGGGTGCCGTGAACCCCCGTGACGGCGCGCTGGTATGGCGGCAGAACATCTCGCGGTCGGTGAACTCTCCCGCACATGGGACAGGTCTCTTGCGCGGATTAGATGGAAACGATGCCGTTCTAGGTGCAGTAGGTAACTACATCGCGTCTTGGAGTGCTCAGGATGGCAAGGTTGGATGGGAAAGCCGGCTCTCTGAGGGTGTGGTTGGCGATCTCGAGCTGTTGGAGCTTGAGGATGTTACCGCGACCTCCGGAATGAGAGATACAATTGCTGTGGTTGCTAGCGAGGGTACCGGAATTGTGAGACGGCTGGATGGCAACACTGGAAAGACTGTATGGGAATACAAGGATGCAAGGTTGGTTTTGTCTTGGGCCTTTTTTGACCAGTCCCAAGTTAATAAATTATTCTTCTAGCGGCGACGTTCCGTTCCAAGTGTCGTCCTCTTCCACGGAGGTCTTCTATATTTCACTCCAGTCGGCTATGTTGAAGGGCTTCAAGATCAAAGTCACTGTTTTGGATCCATTGACTGGGCGACAGACTCGTCAACAGATTCTGAATACTGAGGCTGACGTAGCTACACCGGAGTCGGTCCTCTATGTGGGCGCTAATTCTGCCTCGCCTATCATCGTCTGGACCGACAAATCACAAAAGTCCCTGAAGGTCAATGTTATTGGTACTAAGGACATTAACTCTATCACCATTGACAATCCCTCCGGCTCCGAAATTCGACAGATCACAGTCCACGCTCCCCGCAAGCTTAACGCCCTGCCCCATTTCTTGGTCCACTTTGCAACTGAGGCCGGAGCCTGGGCTGAGGTTTTTCATGTGGACTTGATGTCTGCTAAGGTCACCAAGGCCTACCAGCTGCCCTATCTACCCGGCCAGTCGGCGGTCGCAGCCAGTGTCATTGACGCTAATGTCTATTTCACCCGAATCACGGACTTGGAAGCCGTGGTCGTATCATCCGCCTCTCATGGGATTCTGGGAAGATGGGATCTGCAGAAGCCTTCTTCTGACATTGCCCTTCACTCAGTATCCGAGGTTGTTGCCAAAGGGAAATCTGTGGCTGTTAGGTCAGCACTTTTCCGGAAGCACGGAGATTGGCAACTTATCCGAAATGGCCAGATCGAGTGGACTCGGCATGAGGGTCTCATTGATGCTGTCGCAGCTACCTGGGCGGAAACTGACGCCCAAGAGGATCTAGCTCATGAGCTGGAGGTCGAGGGCCACGAGACTTTATACGGCGCGTACCTACACCGGGTGAAGCGTCATGTTCGGGACTTGGAACATCTACCTGACTGGCTGAAGGATCTTCCTAAGCGCATTGTGAGCAGTATCTTGACCGACGAAGTGTCCAACCTGGACAGCTTTGGAGTTGCCAAATCAGTTATTGTCGCCACTAAGAACGGCCGTGTGTATGCCTTGGACACGGGCAACCACGGTGCCGTTTCGTGGGGCATCCAGGCAGTGGAGACATCGCAGTGGAATGTGAAGGCTATTTTGGCTTCTCCAGGAGTCGTGACCATCTACTCCGACGATGGAAGCTCTGTGACTGTGGATGTGTCCACCGGGGAGATCGTTTCACGCATCGAGCCATCTAACCGCAAACTTCACTCGATCGCTGTCTTTGAGGCGCAGGATGGAAGTTCGCTGGCCACAGTCGGTGTCCGCGAAGATGGTACTCCAGTCACTGCATTTGCCAACGAAGATGGGTTCTTGGTAACCACCAGTATTGATGGCCGAGTCCTCGGCTGGTTTGCCAAGGATAACAAGACTCCTGTGTGGGAGTTTGTTGCTCCCTCCGGACAGAAGGTCGTCGACGCGACCGCTCGCCCTGCGCATGATCCTGTTGCATCTATCGGCAGAGTCCTTGGAAACCGCTCGGTCCTTTACAAGTACCTCAACCCCAACCTCGCCCTAGTGACTGCCGTGAACGAGAAGGCCCACACCGCCAGTTTCTACTTGTTGGACGGAGTCTCAGGCAAGGTCCTTCACGCAACCACCCAAGCGGGCGTGGACTCCACGCAGCCCATCGCATCCGTGATGTCCGAGAACTGGTTCGCCTACTCATTCTGGGGCGACGTTGACGGCAGCGAATCCCCCGCCAAGGGCTACCAACTGGTGATCTCGGAGCTCTACGAATCCCCCTTCCCCAACGACCGTGGCGTCCTTGACTCCGCCACCAACTACTCCAGCACGGCCACCCTCCCGTTGCCCCACGTCATCTCCCAGGCTTTCATGATCCCCGAATCAATCTCCCATATGGCCGTTACTCAAACGCGCCAGGGCATCACCACCCGCCAGCTTCTCTGCACTCTCCCCTCCTCCAACTCCATCGTCGGCATTCCTCGCCCCGTCCTCGACCCCCGCCGCCCTGTCGACCGTGACCCCACCACGGCCGAGGCCGAAGAAGGCCTGTTCCGCTACGCGCCCTACCTCGACTTCGATGGCAAGTGGTACCTCTCTCACACGCGTGATGTCGCCGGTATCAAGGCCGTGCTGTCTAGCCCTACCCTGTTAGAAAGTACCAGTCTGATCTTCGCTTATGGAAGCGATATCTACGGTACACGAGCCATGCCCAGCCAGGCATTTGATATCCTTGGCAAGAGCTTCTCCAAGCTGCAACTCGTTCTCACTGTGGTGGCACTCGGAGCGGGTGTCACCGTTTTAGCTCCAATGGTAAGTGCCCTGTCTAATTTGTCCAGGTACATTTGCTAATTATCTTCCTGTATAGGCTCGGAGGAAGCAAGTTAATGCCCTGTGGAGGGCTTAGGCCTTCTAGGCTCATATACCAGATGTCATATTGTGTTTTAGATTGTAATACATACGTTGCTTGTCAAACACACGTAGCATCTTTCTGGTAAATACGAATTGTAAGTGATGTTGTAATAATTCGTTTTTAGTGTATTAGTTAGATAAGCTCGGTTTAGGACCTTGGGACCTTGGAAGGTTAGTAACTAGTTAACTAAGCGATCGTTTCCTTTTAAGTCGTCGATTAGCCGTAAGTTTCCTGGGTCGTAGCGCGTCCGTTATTATCTCTAGTGCTCGTGGTCTCGGCATTCGAGCGAGCTACGGTAGTATAGCCATCGCTAATCCATGCTTATCTTCCGACTCTGAGGCACGGTGATCGAATCAAGGTTTTCTGACGCGTCGGCCGTTCTCGTTCCTCGCGTGGTTGTGCGAAGGGGCTCGGGAGCACCCGCATGTAGGTCCGCCCTTCCCGCTCGACGCTAGGCTATGGTTGGTTTAGCAGATCTCAAGATAGGGAATGTATTGCAAGGCGAAATCACATGATAAATTATTCTATAATTTATTGGAAATACTAATACAATTGACACCAGCATGATAGAAACGTTAATTAAAAAGAACAGACGTTCAAGTTTTCCTGGAGCATGCCCTATAAATCACTCAGCATACCGTGACCAGAAAACCAGCTAGCTACCCAATTATGTGTGGCGGTGTTAAGAGATTGACGGGCCGCTCACTTCCGTGGGCCTTGAACCCGATTCAATGCGTTTAAGATCTCATATTTGCTGGGGATGTGAAACGGATGCCCTTTAGAAATGATACTGTGGAAATTGGGTTGGGCACCAACATGCTGGAAATGTGTTGACCATTGCCCCCAATCGATAAACATTGAGTAAATAGGTAATTTGGTGGTATTGCTTTCAATCTTTTATTGCTTTAAATGCGCATATTAACCACGAAGGAAGTTCTCGGTGCACGTTTTTACGTTCAGTAAAATCATTGAACAAAACTTTGAATTAAATTATTACCGCTGGGCGAAACTAGCGGGCGCGTCGATCACCACTCTAGTAGCAAGTGAAGGATGGTGTTTAAAGGTTTTCATTGGCCTAGTTATTTGTCCCCGCTAATCTCGAGGTCTATGCATATGCATCCCCTAATACTCACCGGTGAAGGCCTGTCATTGTTCCACTTTAACCTTGAAAAGGTTTGGGGTAGGAGTGATCTAGGAAGACCGACTGGTCTGACTAGACTGACTGGTAAAAGTTTGGTTGAACTTTATAAGGGAATACGAGGGGGCCTGTAGTTAACTATATCGCTTTGCGAGGGGTCGAGGTAAATGAAATCTACTACTACTACTACTACTACTGCCTGTAGTTAACCTTTAAACAAACATATTGCGTAAATCCCAGGACAGTCACTATCGAGTGTCTACTTTTGATGACTCCGACTGCGCAAGACCAAGAAAAGTCTCATTTCAAGAGACTCCGTCAAAGTGGCCCCTCTACAGGGCGCGGGGTATCCTCTGTGCCTTGGCCCCAAATATACCCATCTAACACCAGAAAGTATCAATCAGGCCCTAGTGGGTATAAATACCCTGTGGGAGCGCGGCTACTTTGCGTAAGAGCAGACGTCTCTTTGAATATTTTCTGGCAATTTCATTGCACTGTGTCTCAATTCACTTCTGACAATGAAACTATTCCTAGCGGCGGCCATGTTCATGGTTGTTGGCGCAAGCCTCGCTGCCCCCACCGGAGGAAATGCCACGGTCTGCGATTCCAACCTCTGTACCTGGTGGCATGACTCTGGTGAAGTCAACACGAACACTAGAGTGCAGCCCGGCAATGTGCGGCAGTCTCATCGTTACAATGTTGAGGTTCGCCTCGCAGGCACCAATAACTTTCGCCCGTCCTTCGTCTACGAGGCAATCCCAAGGAACGGCAACGGAAGAATCCACTCGCCCTGGGACTACCCCAATGACAACACTCTCGGCGAAGATGTGGATGATGGAATCAGCATAGAGCCTGAGATTGGCATCACCATGGCGTGGTCTCAGTTCGAATATGCTCAGGACGTCGATGTGAAGATCACCCGCAGGGACGGCCAGAGCTTGGGCTCGACCTCCAATGTTATCATCCGCCCGAGCTCCACCAGTTATTCTTTGAGCACCTCTAGTGATGGTGGAATCATCATCCGCGTGCCCAAGGATGACCGCGGCCGACGATTCTCCGTCGAGTTCAATGACGATCTTTACACCTACCGCTCGGATGGACAGAACTACATCCACTCCGGTGGTGATGTGGTCTCTGTTGAGCCTAGAAACGGCCTTCTCATCTTTGCCAGTGCCTTTTTGCCTTCCGACAAGCTCCCTCAGATGAATAGTGACAACACAAAGACCATGACTCCCGGGCCCATCAATGCCGGTGACTGGGGAGATAAGCCAATCCTTTACTTCCCTCCTGGTGTATACTGGATGAACTCCAACCCCCAGGGCGATAAGCCGAAGTACGGCGAAAACCACCTCAAGCTCCACTCAAACACCTACTGGGTGCACCTTGCCCCAGGTGCCTATGTCAAGGGCGCGGTCCAGTACACGACCTCGAACGGCGACTTCTACGCAACCGGCCACGGCGTCCTTTCCGGAGAACACTATGTCTACCAGGCCAACCCTGCAACATACTACCAAGCCATCAAGAGTGACGGGACTAGCCTTCGTCTATGGTATCACGAAAGCGTTGGAAGACAAACCTGGCACTGCCATGGCCCAACCATCAACGCACCCCCGTTCAACACCATGGATCTCCACGGGAACAGCAACGAGGCTAGCGTTCGCATCACCGACTACAAACAGGTCGGCGCCTTCTTCTACCAGACCGACGGACCTCAGATGTATCCCAACAGCGTGGTAAATGACGTCTTCTACCACGCCAATGACGACGGCATAAAAGCCTACTATTCGGACGTCACGGCAAAGCGTCTTACAATATGGAAGGTCCACAACGACCCCATTATCCAAATGGGCTGGGACTCCCGGCAGGTTAGCGGCGTCGTCATCGACGGCCTAGACATCATCCACACCCGCTTCCGCCGCTCCGAGACAGTCGTGCCCTCCGCCATTATCGGCGCATCCCCATTCTACATGGACGGCAAGACACCCGACACCAGCAAGTTCATCAGTCTCTCTGTCTCGAATATTGTCTGCGAAGGACCCTGCCCGTCTCTCTTCCGCATCCAGGCCCTCCAGAACTACATGAACTTTAGAGTCAATAATGTCTCTTACCCCGATGGCTTGATTACGGGTAGCTTTGGTCTTGGCCAGAGTATTGTCCCCTATGTGTCCGGGATGAGGATGGAACTTCATGTTGAGAACTGGTCGATCAAAGGTAAGAAGGTTACCATGGATAACTTCCAGTCTGATCGTCTCGGTCAGTTGAACATTGCCGGCGAGTACTGGGGACAATGGTCTATCGCGTGAGATCACACGCTCTCACACCTATGGAATGGGTAGGGTAGTTAGTATGAAGTTTGATGCGAAACTGCCTCGATGCTCGTAATCCTAGTATTAGTGCTGGTCTGGGTTCCTGTTAAGTTAGTATGTAATACTCCTTTCTTGCTACTGCCATTTTGAAATGGCTCGTACATCTGTACGCATTGGATTATATATATCTTTTCGTTCGATATCGCATTCTACATGACCTAATACGAATTGCCTAGTCAACAGTAACTGGTGTTTTGACTCTCTCTCGTTGTTTCTCAAATGCACCATAAGTAGTACAAGACAGCTCCCTGAAACGTTCACTGCCATGAGACGTGGTCCTAGAGGGAGGGCCACACGGGCTCGGTGCGCGCGGTGGCTTTCTCACCAAATGGGGTAGACGGCCGCGTCCGCCTCAGATGATGTCACCGCGGTATGGGAGGCGGTCAAAATTTAATATGGCAAAAATACGATATGGCGCACTGGCGGCTATGCACTGCCGTAGTGTGGATTTGCAGTTGATTTTCCTCCACTCCACTCGGCCCACTTCGCTGGCCAGGCCCGGGTTACGTTTTATTATTTATTAAACATGAGAGAGCATCCTGTTCTCCCTTGCTTCGCATCGGCACGCTCTCTCAGATATGCGGGCCCCCCGACAATTCGCCTAGCATTGCCTACCTCCAGCAGCATCTCGTGAAACAGAGTGTTCAAGCAACTTGCCACAGCCGCAAAACGTCGCAGCTTTGCTCACCTCTTCGCATGACGCTTACTCTTCTTCTAATTCGTTTCTATGGCACAGGAGAGTGGCATAACACTGCAAAGCTACCACATGGGACCTCTAAGTTCGAATAGCACACCAGTCGACCTTATCGAGTCACAACCCACACCTCCAATCAATGATGACTTCTTCCATTCCATCTCCACTGCAATTCCCAGCCTAGCACCTCTTTCCGAGGAGGCACGCGCCGCCACCACAACTGAGCACAAAATGACTTTTCGGCAGGGGTGTCATCTCTACCCCAAAGCCATTGCGTGGTCAGGGCTACTATCAATGGCGATTGTCTTGGAGGCTTATGGAACAATTTTGATCAATGGCTTTCTTTCGTTTCCGGTCTTTCGGCAGTCCTATGGTACGCCGACCGGTGGACAAGGCTATGAAATTTCTGCTGCGTGGCAGGCTGGCCTTGTTAATGCAGCTTACGCGGGTCAGATTTTGGGTTTAATGTTTAATGGCGTTCTAACAGATAGATTTGGCCATCAGCGCGTTATGGTTGGGTGCCTGGTCGTCTTATCGTTATTTTTGCTCCTGATTGTCTTTGCATCAAATATCCAGATGCTCGTAGCAGGCTACGTTCTGTGCGGATTACCCTGGGGGTTAGTGGAATCGGTGTCTTCACGTGTAGTTGCTGCTCATTACCTTACTAATTCTGAGCAGGGCCCTCCAAACGTTGAGCATGACATACGCGGCCGAAGTGTTGCCAGTCGTCTTACGAGCTTACCTGACGTCGAACATTAACAACTGCTGGCTTCTCGGTCAGCTCGTGGGAGTTGGTATGATGCGTATACTCATCAGCAACCCGTCGCAATGGTCATACCGGATTCCAATGGCTCTGCAGTGGGCATTTTTGATCCCAATTTTGATTGGGATCCTCTTTGCACCTGAAAGTCCTTGTGAGCGAAACTCTCATTATCCGGGAAGGGGTTTTTATTGAGTCTACTATAGGGTGGCTTGTACGTCATGAGAGGAATGCGCAAGCGGAAAAGGCCATTCTTCGGCTAACTTCAGTCGGTCCCGGCAGCAGTATCGACGTCGACAGGATACTGGCTATGTTGCGCCACACTAGCGAGGTAGAAAAATACCTCAGCGGTGGCGGAGCCTCGTATCTCAACTGCTTCAAAGGTACTAACCTCCGACGCACTGAAATTGCCTGTATGGTCTGGATCACGCAATCACTCTGCGGTGCAGCCTTGACTGGTTATGCAGTATATTTCTATGAACAGGCAGGCATGTCTACTGCCCATGCCGTCACGGTTGGGATTGGAGTTTTCGGAGCGGCAATAGTCGGAGGCATTCTCTCCTGGATTTGGCTGCGCATAATTGGCAGACGCACTATGTACCTGTTGGGTCTGATCCTTTTATTCATTGTTTTGATGATTGCAGGCGGAGTGGGTACGTTAAAGGAACGCCAGACCACTTCTTGGGTTCTCGGCTCTTTAATCATCTTGCTCACGTTTATTTATGACACCACTATTGGCCCTGCCTGCTACGTCCTCGTGGCCGAGATACCCTCCTCTCTCCTGCGGATCAAGACTGTCGTCCTCGCTCGCGTCGCATATAGTTTGAGCAGCCTCATTGTCAATACTGTCACAACGCGCATGCTGAACCCAACAGCCTGGAACTGGGGAGGTAAAAGTTGTTTCTTATTCGCTGGCACTACCGTCTGTTGTTTTATCTGGGCATATTTCCGTCTCCCAGAGCCGAAAGGGCTTACATACTTAGAGCTAGATATTCTATTCAACAAGAAGGCACCGGCCCGCAAATTCCGGCAGTTCCGGGCGCATCTCGAAAGCTCTGGTTATTTCAGCCTTGCTCGGATTGATCGTCCGGACAGCATTTGGGACCCTCGCTGATCAACATTTGTTGGCGTTCGAAAATGGGACACTAAAATGTTGGACAAAACAAGACCGTCAACAGTTGACTGTTCAGCATGTTTAATAAACAACGGCGAACAACAAAAGGTGGTCCAGGGATGAGGGAAGGAATAGGAGGGGGCCGACCTTCAGGCAATCGCAGCGAAAAGATGAAGGAGCCGAAACGGGCGACTCCTCCGGGAGTGTGAGTGACGATGAGCGAAGTCTGGGCCTCTCGAGGCGGCTACATCACGAGCTCCTTCTAGCGTCCCGACTGTTTTTGGAACCGATTCACGGAAATGGTTGGCTTTTGAAATTGCCTATTACAGGTGAGGACCTCATACAAGTCTACACGCAGTCCTGGGAAGTCGGGTAGCGAGAGAAAAGCCCCTCTATTGAAGGAGCAATATTTTAAGTATAGCCCTTAGCATCGATCTAAAGAAAGTCATTGGTCAGAGGGGACATTTCATTCATTCAGAGACATGATATCCAAAGGATCTAACGTAGCAAAGAGTATAACAAAACAAAACAAGAACACCAATATAAACACTCCTCCGCACCTGTACAGACTATATATTGTATATGAACTATTTTCGACACCAAAAAGAGATCCAATCGTCAATAACCCAGCCTCACGAGGTCGCCTCACTCAGTATAACGGCATAGGCGACGAATTGGCATAATCGACATTATGCTCGACAGACTCAATGCGATCAGTGCAAGTACCAAAAATCCGATCCCAAAGCCTCGTCTGCTTCCCATAGTTATAACTCTTCCTCCAACCCTTACGATGATGCAAATCATGATCCTCAATAACAAGCTCCGCATCAAACCAACGCAAAGCAAAACTCAACGTCGACGGCGGCGTAGCATGCACCCGCAGCCCACTATGACCCGCCAACTCCGCAAAAACAACATACTGATGGCAAACCCACCATTCATAGAACCCCATCGGCATCCCCATAAACCGCATACTGAAATAAGTCATAAGTGGAATACCGAGGATGTCGAAGAACTCCTGCTCGGTGTCCGCGTATAGCGTCAACAGCGGGTTCGGGTGCTTAGTGAGGTGGTGGGTGCGGTGGTATTTCCACAACGCGCCGACATCGTGCATCACCCGGTGGTACCAGTAGAACCAGAAGTCGAGGATGATCCCGTACAGCCCTACTTCGAGGGGCAGCCAGGCGAAGCTCATGGTTGAGGGCGCGAGCGTGGCGTGGTAGGCGATGAAGACTGTGAACATTGGTCGGAAGGTCGATGTCGAGACGAGCGAGCGGACGACCTTTGCGACGCCGACGTCTGGAACGCCATCGCGGGCGTGCTTGTCGCCGTCTAGGAAACCGTGCTGGTGGCCCAGTCGTCGGAGGACGTGGAGTTCGTGGATGGCGATGGCTTTGAAGGCCAGTCCGTATAGGAAGAAAGCGCCCCAAGCGCTGAGGTTGTGGCCGGTGTACTCGACGTAGGCGTGGTGCATTAGGAGGGGGATGGCGGCGTGCGTGAGCACCCAGCGGTGCATGGACCAGTCTGGCACGTAGGGCACGGCATCTTCCTTTAGATGAGTGGGGACGTTCTTGTCGAGGTGTTCTGGGTGGATTCCTAGTAGTTCGTAGAACCAGTGGAAGAGAGTCCACTCTGAGCGGGCTTGCTGCCGCCAGGTGGACTTCATGGAGTCTTTTGGATTACCACTCATGGCTGATTCATAGACAATGTAATGGTGTCAGAATTCACACTTCAATCAACCCACCCCCAGGTACCGGGGTGGGTTAGCGGGTTTTAAGTGCTTGGGGTTATTGTCGATCCCTCCCCGGTCGTTCGGCCGTTAGCGACATTCGGCACATGTGAAGAAGCCCACTTCTTTCACGCTCCCCGCAAAAATGAGCCTCGGGCGTTTGGCTGGATTGGAACATTACGTCGATCATATCTCATCTTGGACTCTTTCCCAACAACATGGCTGTTTTAGCGCGTTAACTAGCGCTTGGGCTCAACATCGTTGCCTCATGTTCGTGTTTCGGGCTCATTCGGGGGATGATATCACGATACAGGGGCATTCACAAGAGAATTCTGTTTCTTTTGGCTAATTAAGGCCCAATTATAGATGTCCAACGTATTTGGCCGTATAGATGTGATGTACAGACGTTGCCCTGCATCTGCATCTGCATAGACTTGCCGAGTCATGTGGCCGACCAAAGCCCTCGTTCCTAATTGGTCAACATCCGATTTCCTGTGTGTTTCATGATTTTCTGTACGATTCATTATCTGATGCTCAAGGATGATCTACTCCTATTCTTTCTTGGGGAATCTTCTCAGGGGCTTGGCTACGGTATAGACCTGAACGAAACCAGGGGTTATATAGATGATCGTGTTGCACAACATTGTACATCCGCTTTCAGGTACCTTTTATATAGAAAAGACCTTTTATGAGATTGAGCTTTCACGGTGTTCTGCATTTCATGGCTAAGTATTTCCATAGTTCTAGTTACAACACTGAGAAGAGGAATGGCATTTAAAAAGACAGCGAAGTATTACAATATACTGTCTCTAATATTCATCTTGACCTTGGAAGCCAATAAATTAGATTTTAAGTCTAATACATGAAACTCAGAGCTCGCCGGCCGACTATCCTTGTTGATTATATATCAATCTAATTGCCAGTTTCCTGATATGTACAGATGATCGAATGTGAAGCATGACTCCAGGCCCGTGAACAGTTTGAAGATGAGCCAATCCATATGAACAAGCCAGAGCACACTAACCGAAGAAAAGTACATAACCTTGCCCAGGTAGAAATGTTGGGAATATGACATCAGAAAACCCATACACCTATAGATGCGTGTGAAAGCACATGAAATGTCCACTTCATAGTATAAACCAGGCAGACGGATATTCCAGAACAAGAACGCAGAGATAGAAGAAAAGATATGCCTCGGTATGGAAATCTGCGCTATCTTGTCCTATGTCACATTGCTAATGGTATGTCCAAACACAAACCCCAACACGGTTATTCGTGCTGCCTTTCTATGTGTTCTATACGGCAACATGAGTCCCATCGACACGTAACTGGTCGATCTTGACCGCCACGTTGTCAATAAACTTCTCATCATCATCTATTTTAGTCTCTTCGCCACTAGACGCCGCCTTTTCTGCGGAGCCTGCGGAGTTAGCCTCTGACTCAACCGAAGCCTGTGTCTTCGGGACGGGAACGATTTCCCTCCGATTCTTTCCATCCACAGTGCCCAGCACCTGGAGGTGATCGCCGTTGAACAACACAGGCCCCTTTAGGATATCCTTCCGTGTTTGCCCGTCGGCGAGCGGCTGCTCGATGCCGCGTAGCAGTTCACGGCTGCGCTCGTCCAGGTTGGGCATATCCCCCCACGACCAGTCCAGCTCGCCGCCGTATTGGCTGGGGATGCTGGATGGTTCCATAAAGGAGGTGAGAGTGGGCTCGACCTCTGCGGCGGAGAGAATGAAGATCTTCGAGGTGGTACCTGGGTCGAACCAGCGCTTGATCCAACCCCAGACGGTTGGGAAGAATGACGGCGCTCCGATAATCTAACAGTGAGTCAGTTCCACGATCTTATTTTCAACGGCAAAGATATGCGGACGGATTAGATGGGGGAACAGCATACAAAGATTCGATCCAACGTCTCGGGGTAATGCGCCGTGGCCAAAACACTAGCATCCTGCATATGACTCTTCAAGTTCCAGAATTGCTTCAGCCCAACACCGCTGACATCCACAATATTGGTTGATGCGACAATAGGCGTCTCTGGGTTCGGACGTGGCAGCGCGGAGGCGAGCGGCATCACGAACCGGAGGAGGTTCTCATACAAAGCGAACAGGTTCAACAAGCGCGCAGGGACTGTGGATGATTTGTGGGTTTCGGGTGTACCGGAAGTCATGGTGGAGTTGTAAGCGGCGACAGCCTTGTTATCCAAGTGGCGGATCTGGAAGACGTAGATAGGAATTCCGCGGCGATCGCGACGACCTGTCCATTGGGGATACTGTAGAGACAGTAGACGTCAGCACGAGATCTGCGTTCGTTCGCAAGATATTATGCAACGCACCATCCGTCGAGCGGCCTCGTATGAGTCCACGCTGATATTCTCATATAGCTTCTCGATGGCGTTGTCTTTGCGCCAGTCTTCGGTGTCCTTGAATTGAGCCCATGCACCCTCGACGTCAAACCTGCGAGCTCGGAGGAATCGCCTGCGCAAATAATCAAAATCAGCACTCGATCTTCTTATTCAACACGTCCATTTCTAGCTGTGTTGGGGTCTAGCGTGGATGCGCCACATACAATAGAGTCGCATCATCCTGGCTGGCGGGCTTCGCCTCGACGCCATCTGCTTGTTCCACAGCAGGAGTGTAGTATTTCCGCTCAGCACACAATTTCTTGAACTCCTGCAGCTTCTCCTCCTGCTCCGGTGTAAGGTGGTGCAAGTGTCCGGCGAGCCATGCGGTGCCAGAAGCTTGTGAGGCGGAAGCGGCGGGATCGTTCTTTGAGGCTGAATCGGTGCGCGCCAGGTCCTGCTCGGAGTCCTGCGGAGTCTTGTTGCCCCAAAACATGGTGAACTCCTATCTCTTATGTTTGTTTACTTTTCTTCAAGGGAGAGATCGACCTTCTAAAGCAGATCTCGGAGGTGGCGGAGGGAAAGAGGCGGTGAAATAAATTGACGGTGTTTCGTCCCGAGGTCGGGTGCTTTCTGGGGTTGACTCTATTTCTGATACATCCTAAATTCCTCTCTATCACACATTTTGGGTGGGATTTGGCTCCCTTTTGAGAATGTTGAACGTCATTGGGTTAAGACATCTTTCATCTGCCAAAACACAACTGCCGAAGTATGTTGTACATCGCAGATCCATCGATTAACAAAGCTAATCGGCAGGATCAACCAAGCTAGCCAGCCATGGTAACAGACCCTAGAGATGAAAGTAGACGTGTTTTGTTATTTGAGGGTGATAGCATTGAAACACAAAAATGCAATAAAATTCCGGCCTAAATAAAACCAAGCACCATATCACAGTGTACACGGCACAGCCAGATGCTAATGATAGGGCCAACCCCAGCCATATCTGTACATATCGCCCTCATACAGCGCGAAATTTAAATAGATACAAGAAGCTAGTCCTCAGTCAGATCACCATACTCCCACATACCGCGGCGCTCAGCCTTAGCCTCATCCTCGAGCGCGCGCAGGTTGGAAAGGGTATCGACAGAGGCGCGCTCCCACGCCTTCAGCTTGCGGGGTACCATGGCCATACCCTCGTGAATGATGTCGGCGTTGATGCTGTTGTCCAGGTTCTTGGAAGCAGAGGGGTCGAGGAGAGTGACGTGCAGGGTGCCGTCCTGGTCAACGTGGTCAACGTTGGCGACGAGCTGGCGGTCGAAGGTCTGGTCCCCGACGAAGCCCACGGCGTCCTCGAGGTAATCCTCGGAGGTGGGGAACTGCAGGAGGGAGAGGACTGCATCAACGGCCTGGGGGCGGAGGGTCTGGCCGGAGAATTGGGGTTGGGTGAGAGGGCGAAGTGATGCCCACGGCAAAATCTCCGAGTTACCGAAGTCGACGTAGACCACCTCAGCCTGCTCCTTCTCACGGTCGTTGCGGCGCACCTTGGCACGGTACCAGTCGCCGTCTTCGGTGAATTGGGCGGCAACCCAGTCACCGGCCTTGGGAGGGCCGGGAAGCGGGGTGTCGTTGGCCTTGTTAATGTGGAACTTGCGGAAAGCGCTCATCAGCTCGGTGAGTGCGTTGGTACCTGTACCGATCTGTTGCAGCTTGAGCTTTGCGGAAGTAGGGTCGATGTAGGTAACCATAACGTCGCGGTAGTCCTTGCGACGCTGTGCGGGGGCAGCATCGTTCTCAGTGCCAGTTCCGGTGCCATTGGCAGCCTCGGCTTCCTCAGCCTCAGCAGCCTCCTTGGATGGGTCCCAGTCGTGCCACAGACCCTTGCGGGCGTCCTTCGCCCGTTGTTCGGCAGCGAAATACTCGTTGGCGTGACCAGACTGCTCAGCCGAGTATGCATGGACGGTGGCGAGACCCTCCTCCAGCAGAACGGTTGTGAAGTTCTCCTTGTTGATGTATAGGCTGCCGATGAATCCGCCAACCTTGTCAATGGTCTCGACGTCAATCTCAACGTCGCGCTGCATGCAGCGGCGGTTGGCAAGGTCGTGGGCCTCCTGGCCGAAAGGCTCGCCGGCGTCGCTGGGTCCGCGGGAAGAGCGAGGGGCACGGATACCGGAAAGGACGAGAGTCAATTTGGCGTTATCACGGGGGATGAGCACAGTGAAGCGAGAACCGGACTTGACAAAGTCGACAACAGCTGGGACACGCTTTTGACGCTGCAAGATACCAAGCTCCAGCTTGGCCTTTTGCACGCTCTCTGAGTAGTCCACGACCTGCTTCGCCTTGGGAGGCTTGGAGGACCACATTCCACGGCCCTCCTTCTGGGCATCAGCCTCAGCGGCGAGCAGGGCATCGTAGTCGGGAGACCGGTCAGCGTCGTCCATACGGTGACGAATGACAGAGGAGTAACCAGCCTCCACTAGAGCAATACCAACGTTGGTGTTGCCCTGCACAACAGTAGCGACCTCACGCTCCTCGTAGCCCTCGTTTGCGGGCTTCTTACCGTTCACAGTGACCATGACATGCTTGGCGATTACCCGCTTGCGCAGGTACTCCTTCGCCTCAG